TAAGGAAATCGACAGAGTGCAATCAAAAATTTTTATCAATTTCCAGGTCTCCATTCTGTCACATTAGAGTTTAATATAACCTGGCTGTATGATTCACATTAGAGTTCAGAATCACATATAAAGATGGTATTGCATCTTGTGTGAGAATCTGTTAGCAATCTCAGGACATTTCCAGTCAGTCTAGAAAAGATTCTAAATAAGTAAATAAGTTTATATTTAATCATTCTGTTTGCATAATAAAGAGGATTTTATTGAAAGAGTAATAGATTTTGAGCCCAAAAATTTCTACCTGAATATATTATACAGAATAATGATATTTATAATTTGCCTAAAACAAGGAAAAGAAATCAGATAGAGGATAACTGAAAGCGTCATTCTTTTTCCCACGAGGACTGCATTCTGTCACATCAGAGATTACATCTATTATTATTGCATGAAATTGAAGGTTTATTTATCATAGTTGCAATGATCTAATTTTGGTCAGTTTCGTTCGATAACTTGTTGCCATTTTGATGATCATTTCATTATACCTCTCTCATAGAAGCTTCTTTTCTTCTCTCTTTTCACAAGTTTTTTTCTTTTCTCTTTTCTAAAGTTTCTCTTGAAGAGAATTTTTCACCAGAAAAATCTTTCGGCATAAACAGAAACAGATGGTAATCACTTGGTACCAGACTATATGATGGATTAATATGAACCTTACAACAAACTTCTCGAAACTTTTGTTGAGTCATTATTGATGTGTGTGGCCTGGCATTGTCCTGATGAAACACAATTCTTCTTCTTTTACCCACAGCGATTGCTTCCTTCAGACTGTCCAACAGTTCAATTGTTGACAATACAGTTCCGAGTTAAGAGTTTTGCTGTAATGAAGCAACTCATAGTAGATGATTCTAGAATCCCTATGTACTCTATAATGAATAATTTTAACAAACTTTAAATTTGGAGAGTCATAAATAGCCATAAGAAAATACTATTGTTAGAATCTTAAAGAAAAAACAAGTTGGTGTGATATAAAGAACGATATCTCCAAAATAATTAAAAATAAATCTCAATTGATAGTTTTTAGGATATAATATATATTCAGAGCTTAGAATTCCAATTCCAAGCTCTTTCAAACACTCTTTCATTGCAAAAACGAAATAATTATATGATTAAGCTATTATAGTTTAGTGTATAGTACCTCCTCCCCTTGTAATAATAAAACTCAATTAAATATTATGTATTATATATATATGCTTAAATGTTTCTAATCTTTTGTTACTTATTTCCCAAGGCACAATAAAATGAATTTCAATTTTTTATGATGTGAAACTAAGTAACCTGCAATGTAATAAAAATAAAATTTATGAATTTCTTTGGTGTACAGTTAAATGTATATTAAAAGTCAATATTCAGTTACAGTTTCATAAATCTCAATGTATAAACTTATGAAGCAACCAACGTACTCTCGTATACCATATAGTAGAATAACATTTTTGAGGTTTCTACTGCAAAATTTAATTTATTTTCATTGCCAAAGTAACTCGCAAATGAATCCTTGCTCCGTATAGGTAACGACTGTAGTATCTGAAATTGTAGATGTGTGGAATAGCATACATATGTAGTAGATGTAGTAGATGTAAGGATTCATGTGCATTGTTTATGTGTTAGCTACATTATTTACGCTTTTTAATAAGCAACCATGTTGCATGTTTTCAAATAAAACTGAATTTTTCATTTTATATATGACGCAATGTTTTTAGTTTTCTCCCCTTCGTTTCTTACAAATTAAATATCCTGCATATTTTGTGCTGCCACTTTTTGTATCTAATATTCCACGTACCACATGTGTAAATTAAGGACCAAACTTTTATTGAATTTCCTCTGAATTATTTGAATTTATAAATGAATGTGGAATATAGAATTTTATGCACCGAAAGGACGGAATTCTGTTTTTATTAAAATTTTAATTAAAATTTTTTTACAAAATTATAAGTTGCATTCCTGATAATGAAGTTCAATGAAACTCTTTTCATATATAGAATAATATTTTATCTATAAAATTCTGATATTTTAAATTTCACAGCATAGAATTTTTTTAGTAAAGTTAAATTTTAGCAATATTCTGTTCACCTTGCTAATTAATAAAACT